AGATTATACCGCCTTAATACATGTTTGGATCATTGATGAGACCTTAGTTCCTTCGCTTTCGCAATGGCTCTATTGTTATCACAATATAATGGCATGTGATCAACAATATCATGAACTACTCCAAGTTCATTTATGAACATCATAATCCAGATTACAACTCTTTGCTACTTCTGAAGTAATCATGTATTAGATTTCTACTATTGAATCAACAGTTACTTCACGTTTGGAACATTTCCAACATACCGCTTAAGAGTAAATCAGTTTCTCCATATGAAATCTTCTCAAGATTTCATCTATGTAAATTGGGATGAATTAGAAAATTTTCTAGATTTATCTCTATAGATCAAGTTGCTTCTCCCATATCGTTCATGAATAAATCTTTTGCAACCTTTATTTCAATGATTGAAATATAGGGATGTTGTTTCCTATAATATTAGGAATGCGACAATGCTCCCACTATCTTCTTGTAAACACACAATTCGTCTTCAAATTTGATAAAATCAAACACTTTGACTTTTTATCAAATCGAAGATTTCAGTTCCATAGAGACTTCTCTTAACCTATAGTCACGATATGCAACTGTTGCAAGCAAAACCCGAATGGAACAGGAGAAAGGTTTCACCAAGGTCAACACTTAACCTTTGCTTCTAGCCTTGCTTTGTATATATGGATATTCCCATCCATATCGACATTTTCCTTGTAAACTATTTACAAAACCTTATGGGTTTTATTCTATCAGGAGGCTCGACCAAGGTCCAAACCTTGTTCACATACGTCGAGTTCATCTCGAGTATCATGGCCTCTTGCTATCTCTTTTAAGTCAACACTTGACTTTATTTTGGTGCAATTAGTAAGTTCATCATCCTGGATCAGTAATACCTGATTAGTAATCACGAATTCGCACCTTCTTGAAGGTCGAATGATCCTACTAAACTCATATAGAGCTGACATGTCCTCAGGAGTCTCTAATCCTGGATCAAGAGTATGTCCCATATCAGATATGGGATCAAATTCGGATTTATCTACTTGGTTAACTATATCTGTGGACTCTTAAACTCTTTCAAGTTCTATTTTGCTCCCACTGTCCTCCCCTAGAGCAAACATTTTCTCTAAGAAGACGATATGTCGTGAGACGAAGACTTTCTTCATGATAATAGAATTTATATTCAAATGTCTACTTTGAATATCCACAAATACGTATTTATCGAATTTAATCTCAAACTTATCCGATTCAATGAATCGACTTCAAATAAGCGTTATAGTCCCAAACTTTTATATGTGATAAATTGGGACTATTGTCTTTCCATAGCTCGTATGGAATTGTGTTAACCAACTTAGATATGATATGATTTAGTGTGTAACACACTTCAATCAGTGCATGACCTCAAAAACGATTTTGAGAGATTTGCATGACTTGTTAATCGCACTATATCTAATAGTTAACGATTTCTCCTTTTAGATACACCACTATGCTGTAGTGTATATGAAGGAGTCCACTACAAGAGAATCTCATTCTCTCTTAGATAATCTAGATTTGGTCTTTAAGATACTCTCACTTGATCGAATCTTAATACGATGATATCTTTACCTATTTGTTTCTCTACTTCTAGTTTGAATCCCTTGAACTTTTCAAGAGTCTCATGTTTGAGTTTCATCAAATATACATGATCATTGATGAAATAAGAGAAACATTACCTGACATCAATTGACATGAGTCCATATGCATCACTATCCATTATACCAGTAATTATGCTAACCTTTCTTCTTTTCAAGTAAAAGAAGATTTGGTCATTGTGTCGGACATGCATAATTTGTAGTTGTCAAAATCAATTAATCCCGAGTACACATCTTTATGTAACTTTGGAATTATATTTCATCTATATGACAAAGTCTGCCATGCCAGATTTTGGTAATAATTAGATTATCGCATTTATACTTTATAATTTCTATACTCATTATAGAATCCTTAGTATTAAAGAATATAAACGTCATTTTGTAATTCACCATAGCCATTAGGATCTTTATCAAGAAAAATAAGAACAACAATTATCCTTAACATTAAAATAGTTCATGTTTGAACATGAAATTCATTTTAATGTTCCAGCTATGGTTGGTATAAAGCAACATTTCTCTAATTCCAATACTAAACGAAAAGACAATGAAAAGAAGTATATTCCTACAGGCAATGCAGCAACATTTCCTCATTTCCAACATGTAGGTCAACTTCTCCCTTTCGCAGTGGTCTACTTCTATTTAGTTTCTCTATATTTGTATAAATATGAGATTTACATCTGGTATCGAATACCTAAAAAACTCGTGAAGTAGACGTAAGCCACGCTATATTCCTTCCAATGACCTTTCATTCTATAATGAAATCAAGGGTCATTAGATTTCGTATTGTCCTTCGCTTAGACTGTCTTAACCATATTGGGTGCTTTTCCAAAATCCCTTTAGACTTCTTCTTAATACCCTCAGAGGAATCAATGACTTGGCCACTTCTAACTTTGTTATTGGGCATAACAGTAATAAGCATATTAAGCAACTTAATGAGTATGCATTCGAGCTTATTCATATCATAATTCATAATTAGTATGAAAAACTCTATGACAGAGATCGCCGAGCTAAGTCAATACTTAGTTCATAGTTAATGATTGAACTTAATTGAGACACTTCTCATGTCAATCATCTTCAGTACATGAGGATTGATTGAAAATTCTTTTGTCACTTTGCATCGGTATAGTTGTTTGGAAGTCAATATCCTTTCACACATGATTATTATCATACAACTCTTTGTAATGAAGAATTATGTGTTAACATTTATACTCTCAAGTTACTTTTGTAACTTAGTTGACATAGTTGCAGGTATCACATACGTTGCAGTACTATTGTCTTCCTTGCATTTATTATAGCAGCCACATCTTCCTTAATCGAGTCATCACCAGGTATCTCTGGAAAATGGCTACTTAAGGACAACCAACTTTCTCATACTTGAGAATAATTCTCAAATTGCAGTGCCAATCAAGAATATTCAGTTTAGTTGTTGGCATCCAGTATGCCATTCAAAACATATGGTTACTCAGGATTCAGTATAAATATAAATGACGAAAATGAAAAGAATAATATATAATATACATCAATTAATTTAACATGGACTTTTATTAAATTAATTATGTTCCCACTGTTTAATTAAAATTTATGACCCTCTTACATAAATTTATGGAGTCCATACTTGACTTCCAGTGGGCTGGGATCCCATCTATTATATTAAGATCTTGAGTGTACTCAACAAGCCTTAATATAACATTTGGGTAGATACTTTTATCAATTGTATCTCCATACAACTCTCAGATCATTAAGCTTACAACTCTTTGTTTTCACACATCTTATGTGTTAACTTAACATGCCTCTAAAATTTATCTCCTTAAGTGTACTTAACAGAAGATAAATTTTAGTTAAGTCAAACCCGTCATTCAGAAATATCAAATATTTCATAGTGTCAAACATATCCCTAATGGACCAGCCTTGAGTGTACTCAACAAGTTGAGACGATTTGGGACTCTGATTTTTCACTATAATGACGGAATGCGATTATAAATGTGACTTGATATTTTATAGAAGGATTTTGCATTCAAAGGTCTCATCGTAATAATAATATATATTTTATTATACATCAACCATACCAATAAATATATATATAACATAATAGAATAGTGTGGACGATTATGGACTTTACTATCTAGTCTTCCCGAGCCATAAGGAAGACTAGTTGGTCAATTCCTAGGGGTTATTACACTGATCAGTATCAATGCGCCATCTCCATGGTCTCCTCATCTTCTTGTTTCTTCAATTAGTCCAATTGCAATATGTATCATATACTAGTTGGCACGCACGCTTAAATGAAATTGGACTCGCAGGCACATATCAACAATAATAACGGACCCGCAGGTCCAAAATGATCAAGAGCTCGTAGACCCAAAATAATAACAATAATAACGGGCTCGCAGGCTCAAAACAATTAAGAGCTCGCAGGCCCATAAAACGACAAGAATAAAAATTAACCATTCAACACATCCATACGATCGAGCCCATAATCGTCCACTAATAATACATTCATCACATAAATGTATACCTATATAATATCTAATATTATATGCAAATTAGTTTCAAGTTTTAGCAATTAAGTCGTCTAAACTCTTTTAGACAAATGGATCGGAACAATTAAATAATTAATTAATCATATTAATCGATTATTTAATTAGCGGGCATGTTTAATTAAAATCAAATTTTAATTAAATACCAAATTAGAGTCCAACTCTAATTCAACAATTATAGGGGGATAATTTAATTAAAATCAAATTTTAATTAAATATCAAATTAGAGTCCAACTCTAATTTCATAACTTAAGGCAGTTGAATTTAATTAAAATCAAATTTCAATTAAATAACAAAATTAGAGTCTAATTCTAATTTCAAGATTTGAGAGCAAATTTATTTAATCAGAATCATATTTTAATTAAATACCAAATTAGAGTCCAACTCTAATCCCAAAATGAAATTTAGGGCGAGACAATTTAATTAAAATCAAATTTTGATTAAATGTGAAATTCCAATTCTAATTACAAGAATATATTTGGGTAAATAATTAATTAAAATCAAATTTTAATTAAGTTTTAAATTAGAGTCAAAGTCTAATTTCAATTGAATCAATATTTCAATTCAGGATAACACTCCTAAATAAAATAAAATTCAATTTAGGGTCAAATTTAATATTAAAGTTAAAATCACATTTTAACGAAAATATAAAAAGTCGTAAAGTTTAAACTAAACTTTAAATTTGGGTCAGAATTAAATTATAGGTAAAACTCATTTAAAATATAATTTCAAAGTCATTTTAAAATTCAAATTCAAAACCATTTTGAAATTTGCAAATTGACCCAAGTTGGAAATTAAAACCAGACCCTTCCAAATTAAAAAATTGCAAAAATAGGCCCCTTTTTCCTGTTTTTATGTCTAAATATGTATTAATAGGCGTATATTGGAATTGACGGGCCTCTCGGGGATCGGATGTTTGACTTGATGACGCAGAAACACAAGGATCAAAAGCTCAGTTTGGAGGACCTCGTTATTGCCAAAGTAAGCTTATTTTTTTCCTTTTTTTTTTATCCACCCATGTTCCATCAATCTACTAATCCAAAATGCATTCTTAGATTATAATGGGGCTCAAACAGTATCATTTGGATCCCAAGGAAACACATTGGATATACTACATATATATAATGAATTTTAAAATAGTAATTTTTGAGAGAATGTGTCGTTAAAAAAAAATTGTTTTCTAGTAATATTATTATTGAAAATGCGTGTTTGGAAAAAAGAGAGGAAAAAATGTATTAAAAATTTTAATGGGCCAAACAATGGCTAAAGGTTTAAGTAGAGCTGCTTGAAATAAGAAGCTTCTATGTCTGTCAAAATTTGAATTTTCTTTTATGATGTACTTAAATAATTACAGTAAGAAAAGATGTTTTGAGAGAAATATTTTATTATACACAGTACACACACAATAATTATATAGTCAGCCCATGACTATAATTAATGTTAGGTACATCTACCTTTTTTATGCAATCTATAAATTGCCGTTCACAATTTTCAAAAAACCCATCTGTGTAGTCTCTCTCAGCTTCCATAATTTTTTCAAAAAATGGAGGATTTCTCCAGTGTATCTTCAACCACTAAAAGGTCTACATGTGTGTGTGTGAGAGAGAGAGAGAGAGCTTAATTAAATCAGAAATGGAGGTTCAATATTTTGCTTCTTAGGACCTACAATTTTTTTGCACACTGATAATGATATTTATAAATGTAGGCTAGAAGGCAAAGTTGCCATTATTGCAGGCGGTGCAAAACAGTGCAAGAACTTTTGCTCTGCATGGCACGAAAGTTGTGATTGCTGACGTACAAGATGATAAAAGTCTGCTAAAAACTTAAGCCATTATAAGAGAGACAAAATAATTTATTTAAATTATGTCTTGAATAGGTATGTCAATTTGTGAAGAGCTTGGATCCCTAGAAAACTTTTCGTATGTCCATTGCAATGTCACAAGTGAGAACGATGTCAAAAACGTTGTTGATTTCACAATGCGTAAACATGGAAAACTAGACATCATGTTCAACAATGCCGGTATCCCTAGAAATATAGATTTCAGCATCGTAGATTCAGACAGTGAAAACTTCAAAAGGGTTTTCGATGTGAACGTTTTTGGTGCATTTCTAGGGTCCAAACATGCAGCCAGAGCCATGATTCCGGCGAAAATTGGTGTAATTCTCTTCACTTCGAGCAATGCTTCTGTTGTTTCAGGCGAAACCCCTCATTCCTATGCAGTGTCAAAACACGCAGTGGTGGGGTTGATGAAGAATGTGTGTGGAATTAGGGCAGTATGGGATACAAGTGAATTGCATATCACTAGGTGCGGTTTTGACACCACTACTGACAAAAGCAATGAGAGAGGATAAGAGTATTGTGGAAGAAATACTCTCAGCTTCTTCGAATTTAGAAGGGGTGGTGCCTATGGAGGAGGCGGCGCTATATTTGAGCAACGATGAATCCAAGTTTGTGAGTGGAATCATCTTGTGATAGATGGAGGTTACAGTACGACCAAACAAACTTACACAAAGATGATCAAGAATATTCTGTCCAAATGAATTTGAATCGTGCCCGAAAAATATTTATGCATTGAGTTACATTTCACCTAAATTCTATTCTTAAAAGTATCAATAAACTTATTGCAAGATACATATTTTTTAGAAGTTTGAGAAATAAAATAAAATTAGGCTATTATTTTGTGATGATCTAATATCTCGAGCCTAGTCCATTCAAGAAACGAGCTATGAAAGCTCAACCCATTTAAAATTTTGAAAGTCCAATCCATACGTTAATTAAAAGCCCAACAATTAAGAGATTAAGTTTAAGTAAATTTGATTACAAAAATTTAATGAATAATTGGGTTGCCTTAATGGTCATCTACATGGTATTTTATAAAATATTTTTTTGAATTATTTTTTTATGACTTAAAAACTCTTCAAATTCTTAGTTAAAGACTCAATTTAACAAATTTAATGATAATACAACTCCCCCATTTTATTTTTCATTAAAAAGGAATGTTACAAGAAATGGAAGGTCATGAAGAAATGTTTTCTACACATTTTGATCTTTGATATCCAAGAAAATTCAAGGTAGGTAGATGTGTAAGTGTTTATTTCGTTTTCTAAATTATGATTTTTCGATAAATATTTGAATAAAATGGTACCTCTAGGTACAGTGTTTCGGCACTACAATAGTTTGAATGATCATTCTCTGACTCTACGTGTTATGATAATGCTATAGTAATTGGATTTGTTAAAAATTCATCTACGTGTGATGGTATAAATCTATAGTTCAAAATTTTTAATTTGATAACGAAATGTACCGATGATATCTATTGAATTTCAAATTCATGGGTTAATTTCCTTCCTACAGATTGAATGGATTTTCCTTGAGGCGTGGATGATGGTAAATGATGATGTAACATGCCCTGGAGAAGTCGATGATTTAATATCTTTAGTTTGATTATGAGATGTTTACGTTTGCTTTAAATTAGATTCCTATGGATGTCGTGTGTGGATCTATTCTTCGAACATTCTTTATGAATAAGTTATGTTTGAAAGTATATATGTGTTCTAGAAATAAATTTACAAATCAACGTTTAAAAAAAATGTTAGCGATTTAAAATTTTGCTGTCTCTTCTAAAATTTCAACTTCTGCTTCGTCTTTAAAAATTCATAACTCATTTGTTATTTGACATTTTTATACAAAGCCAGTGGCATTTGATAGCTTCATAAGTCAGCTATTGAATGAACTTGGAATCATGTCAATCGGTAGAATGTTATATGTTGCATAAAGTAAAATGCACTGGGTAGGGTCGCCGTTTTTCCAGCTTCTGCCTTGACTTCAAAAATCCATAACTCGACTTTTACTTGGAATTTTTAGATGAAACCAATTGGATTTGATATTCTCATGGATTAGCTACTAAATAAATTTGAAATCATATGGTTTTGATGTCTGTGAAATTTTATATGTCATTTTTAGTGAACTGCATCGGTTTACCTTTCAACCGGGTCGCTGCTAGGTTTTGAAGAATATTTTATTACCTCATATGATGCTGAGGGAAGCTGATTTTTAACTTTATCATATTATAAGGAGTTTTCCACTTTACATTAAAATTTTGATGAAGTTTCGAGATCGATAGCTATGCGAACGAATCTATTTTGACAATTACTGTTTGAGACAAAAACTAAAATAGCAAAATTACTTTTTAAGTTTTGCCAAGAATTTCACTTCAATAGTCGTTATATGCATAGAACCCATTCTAAAAATGTTTTTGAAATTGTTTTCTTTTAGTATTGAATTATTGTTAAAAAAAATCTTTAAATAAATTCTAAAATTTAATCTTTATACCTTCCACTAAAAATACGGTTAAATAAATTTATGGCTAAAGTACAGTTAATCTCGTGACGTTTCGATCCATGCGGGTTGGGGTGTTACATATTTAACTTTAAATCTCAAATCGAATTGTTTCCATATTACGATTCTTTCTTTCTAACATTACTTCGTTGATGTTGCATGCAATATAAATCACTAGCATTCGTATTTGATTAAAAAAAAAAAAAAAAAAAAAATGTCTCTGACATACCAGTATGTCGAACTGTTAAATAAATAAAATAAATTATCAATTTATATGACTGAAATAAATACAAATAATTACTTGCACGAGCCGTAAAAATTTAATCATGTAACTTGTAAAGGTTCAATTTAGATTGTATTAACTACAGTAACCTATAATTTTAAGATCTTGATCGTCGCATTATAATAAGTTTGCAATACGATTTTTTTTATTTTATATTAAAGCACATGACAGGACCTAAGGTTGGACATGGTCAGGTTCGGTTCAATTCTAACGAGAACAAAATCGGACCGGACCAGAAATTTTTAGGTACACAGTAAGTGGAACTGTCGGATCCAAATTAATTATAGAACCATTCGGGTTCGGTTCTATTCAGTTTAGTTCGATTCCATTCGGTTCCCAAATTCTGTACTATAATTAATTTCTTTTAATATTTACAAAACTACATTAATTCTATTATTGACAAGTTCATTCTTAGCTCTTACCAAATGACGCAGTCAAATCTTTTGTGTTTTTTGTGTCTCTCTTTACTGAGTTTTTCATAATTTTGATTGTTAAAATCATAGGAAGAGGAAGATAGCGAGCTTATAATAATTAAGAGAGGAGTTGTCAAGTTTCAATTCAATTTCTTTAGAACCGTAGAAACGATACTACAGTAGAATAATAGATTTGGATAAAACTTAGGTCAATTGAATTAAATTGGGCTTTCACTGAAAATTAGAAATAATAAAAGCCTATTTTTGGATTTGAGCTAAATTAACTAGTTAATAAATTTATTTAGAAAAAATAAAATAATTTAGATTATTTAAAATAAATAAATTTAAAAAATTAGGAAGATTTTGTTCTTGATTTATAGCTGAGAACATAATTGAACATATCGGGTATTTAATTTAAGAAGAATCGCTAGGTTTGGTTTGGTTCAGTTCGGTTCAATTCAGTTCGGGAGTTTTGTCCATTGCTAACAGGACCAACCAGCAAGGCTTGATAGCGTTTAGGATCGAGCTGCCTCAGTTATTGATTCGATATTGGATTGAATCGGCACATTTTTTTAAAGGGAACCATCTTGTCTGATTTGCTCGATCCTGTTTAAATTTTAACTTGACTCGAGACAATTTTTAGTTGGACTTGAATAAGTGGAAATTAAGCTCACCATGTTTCAAATTAAGAAGAATTAAACTGAAACACAACAAAAAATTAAGCCCTGGTTTGGGCCGATTACCGATCAGGGCGTTATTTAGGAAGCCTAGCAGTTTTGGGCTAGTTTGACCTGGCCAACTTGACACTTGTAACTAGGGGTTTATTAGGCCCAACATCATAGATGGGCCCCTGTAGAGAAAATGATGATTTTCTGGAAAAAAATTTCAATAATACAATTTTCCACGAAGAACACGAATGAGAACACAACTAGAAAAGATTCGAGAA